AGACTTCGGTTCTACTGAAGCTTGGCTTATGTTGGGCAAATGGGAAAATTCCTCTTACAATATAAACAATAATTAATTATAACAATGGTGGAGTCTTCATTAAAACAGGGACCTTCAGCCAGGCATCAGTGGCTCATGCCTATAATCCCAGCTACTCAGGAGGCTGAGATCTGAGAATCTCGGTTCAAATCCATTACTTAATCACACACACACACACACACACACACACACACACACACAAAGCTGGAAGTGGAGCTGTGGCTCAAGTGGTAGAGAGCTAGCCTTGAGCAAAAAGAAGCTCAGGGATCGTACCCAAGCCTTGAATTCAAGCTACCACCCCACCTCCCCACACACACAAAGCAGACTCTCTTGAGCTTAATATCAAGAAATTCTAGTAAGTTTTATTTAAGCCACTATATGTCTCAGCTAAAAAATGGTTAGTATACATCTCACCATTTAGGACTCTCTTCTCATATTCCCCCATTATACAGAGATTCCCTAGGCCCCTGCTTTTGTTCTGATCTCTTTATAAACTCAATCAGAGGTTAAAGAAATTGGGCAGAGCTATAGCAGTCCATACTGGTTAAAAGAATGGAGAGGACAAACAGCCTGGTGGAAGACCACACCTATAAAAGGTGGCCTTCACTCTTAAAGGTAGTGAATCCCTTGAAAGACCTCTATGTTGTTGGATGGTCCCTGTTCCTCAGTGCAATCCAGGTTTTAATATGAATATGAATGTTCCCAGTTTGTCAGAGTTGATTTTTCCCTTTCCCATGGCTTCCCAACTCATGTTTTACTCATTTAAGGGTTTTGCAATAACTCCTGTACTTAAATCCTGTGGCTCCCCACCACCTAGAAGTATTTAATGTCATGTCTTCTACCTTCCTTGCTCCATTGTAAGCCTCTATCTAGCCTACCATGCTGCACTATGCCTGCTAATACAGGCCCCAGGACAGACACTACAGGTAGTAGGGAGCTGGGCAGGGTTTTTGTTTTTTGTTTCTTGTTTTGGTCAGTTATGGGTCTTGAACTCCAGGCCTGGGCCCTGTCCCTCAGCTCTTCAGCTCAAGGCTAGTACTCCACTACTTGAGCCACAGAACAGTTTCCTGTTTTCTGGTGGTTAATTGGAGATGAGTCTCATAGACTTTCCTGCCCAGGCTGGCTTTGAACCATGATCTTCAGATCTCAGCCTCCTGAGTAGCTAGGATTACAGCTAGGATTACATACACCAGTGTCTGGCTTAGTCTCAGTTTTATTGACAGACTAATTGGTAAATGGTCCTCATCACAGATTTCCCATAGCTCTCTCTGGGGCTTTCATGTCAGTGCTGCATAATAATTGTGGATGTGTGTTTAGGAAAGGAACTGATATTTGGAGCACCATTGTTGGTTGATGCTTGTTGAATGAGTAAACGGATGAATAGGATCAAGACTACAGTTAATTTCAATAATTGCATTTCCATCTTCATATGATTTTAAAATAAAACCTAGTCAGGTAAAAATTTACCTAACTCTGTGTGTGTGTGTGTGTGTGTGTGTGTGTGTGTGTTATGTTCATATTTAAGAAGGAAAAAACAAAGATCAACTTTTATCTACTCCTTCTGTGGACCTCTTACTAGTCCACTACCACCCCCTTTCAGGCCTTATTCATTGTCTGAACGTTCTATGATTTCCAAGTTGAAGAAGACAAATTGATACACTTAGCTGGGAGCTAGTGGCTCAAGCCTGTAATCCTAGCTGCTCATGAGGCTGAGATCTGAGGATCATGGTTCAAAGCCAGCTCAGGCAGGAAAGTCCATGAGCCTCTGCTCTCCAGTTAACCACCAGAAAACCAGTAGTGGCTCTGTGGCTCAAGTGGTAGAGTGCTTGCCCTGAGCTGAAATGCTCAGAGACAGTGCCCAGGCCCTGAGTTCAAGCCCCACAACCAGCTGAAATGCTCAGGGACAGTGCCTAGGCCCTGAGTTCAACCCCCCCAACCAACAACAACCAAAAAAATTGATGCACTTTATGATGACCCTAAAATGAAATATGATTGAAAAAGAAATGATAAAAATTGCCCTGAAAGTAAAGGTGTAAAATATTCAACAAAGATCATTTTCTTCCTCAAAAAAAAATCTAATTTATTAAGATTAGGTTTACCTGCTGAAATCTGACTGTTCTATACCTTGTTAAAATCAACACTTAATTATGATCTGGGTTGCTTATACTTCAAACCAATTCATGGAGATTCTTTCTTTAAGATTGGGTTGGATTTGGTTGTTTTGTCATTATACTAACTTTTTTTTCCCAAAAGAAAGAATTAACCTACAAAAAAATCTTCAAAGAAAACCTTAGCAAATTTTTCAAAAGTAACAGCATCTTCCATGTGTGTATCTGTGGAATTTATCTTTCTTTTCGTTCTAGGACCCTAACATTTAATGATTCCTTGGCTCTAGATCTCTTATCCAGAGAAGCTTGAAGTGAAATACATAGACAAGAGCTTGCTCATAATTTTTTACATTTAATTTTATGGTTATTATTAAGGGGTTGTACAGAAATGTTACTATTTCATAAGTCAGGCAATTTCTTTTTTTTTTTTTCTGGACAATGTCACCCTTCCTTTGCTTTCCCCCAGCTTCTCCCTCCCATAGTTACATAGTTACCTATGCACATAGGTCCTTTTCCACAGAGTATATACTGAATAGCACAATCACATTTGTTCTTGATGTTTCACTTATTTGGTGTTTCTAAGAAGGAAAATGTTTTAAAGCTCAAGGGTCCTATCTACAGTGGGGGAAGGAGCAGGGAAGATTAGGAAGCAGTTGAGTAAAGTTCAGATTGCCTTCAGGACATTATTTCCAACAAAAGAAAATGTGCTTAGACAAAGTAATTCCCAATATTATACCAAAGCAAAACCTTGTAATTCATATGAACTCTGAACTGAGACCCTCATTTTCTCATTAGGTTTTATTACAGCCAACAAAACTTTCAGTGGTGAATTACTTCCTTTCTCTACTGGCACCAGACTTGCTTAATGTCTGCACAAGCTGAAATGATGGGATGTTTTTTCACCTAACTTTAGGGATTAGGGAGTTAAACAAAATAAAGAGGAAAAAAGAAAGGTAAACCTGAGTCTTCTCATCTCAGTACTAGCCAAAGTATGGTTTTCCAACATTATTAGTTGCCTTCGAAAAATAAAAATGAAAAAACTAAAATGTCACTGGGTTTACCCAATTTAAAGTCATGTGATTTCATTCAAGTTGCCTTGAAGGACAAGTCATGTCCACAAAAAATATAAACAAATTAGTCCTAAATTCATGGCACAGGTAGGAGGCTATGTCAATAAAAGCTTTCTTCTTTAAATGAGATCTTCTCCTTGCATTTAAGCCAGAGAGAGGGTCCAACATAAAAAATAAGCAGTTGATGTTTCAACACAGAATGTTGACAAATATTTTGCTTCACACCCTTGTATCATGCCAGCTATCAGAAGCATTGCTTCAGTTTGCTATTTATCAGGCATAAGATAGCCTACCCTTAAGAAGTTATAATTTAGTTGAGAAGTGAAAGTGTAACATGATTTTGAAAGTAAGGATGCAGTACAAGACATAATTAAGTATTAAGCAATGTGGTACAGATGCTAGGCGATCAGAGGATAGGAAAGATGGCTGAGGGCTGAAACTGTCAAGAGAATGGATTCTCAGTAAATTTTTTAAAGGATGCTAAATTAGGAAGCAGTTCTAATTGGCACTAATTTATAATTTTAAGGCATTGACATGATTTGCCATTGCTTTCCAGCCAGAGGCTGTTTAAAAGCACATACATGAACAATTGAAGTTGGCAGGGAATATTTCTTTCTAACTCCCTGGGTTTGCTAATGTGCAACAAAAACACATACTTTCATGTTGGATGGCAGACACAAAATCTGAGCAGATTTTGCATGGGGAATTTGGTGAAAGAAGTATGGAATTCTGGCTGTGATTTCTGGTATGTGTTTTGGTTTCTAATGAACTATCTTGTTGCAAGTTTTTAGTCTGAGGGGTAGGCAGGCTCAAAATGTGTTTGTTGATTTGGGAAGATCCATTTTGACAATCTCTTCTCATTGTGAGAAAATTAGATTCAAAAGGTGAGTTGTAGTCTCAAAGCCGGATTTTTCTAATTCCAAAAAAGTAGTGGGGTTCAAGAAGGGCGGAGTGAATATAGTATTCTTTCAAATTAAAGTACCTAAATTGCAAGCTGTCTTTTGAAGTCAACGGACTGCCAGGGCGCCTTTGCACTGTTAAAATCGTCTGCTCTTTACAGTTTGACCAAGATCCTAGGCCTTCCGAGTGCCATGGGTCTGAGTTCAATTCGGTTTGTTATGACCGAGCTGTTTGAACGGCTACCACAAGCATGGTTCACCTTCTGTTTTGAGTCACTTCAAGCAAGTTTCAAGAATTGCAGTGTGCACTTTTTTTCGTCTCTGGGCTTGATTGTATTTAAGGATCATCCCCAAGAAATGCCAATTTTACTTCCGACTCTAAAGAGAAAAAGGGAGGGGCACGTTTATGTAACAGTTGTTCAATTTGGCAAAAGAGCACACTCTTCTGCTCCCTTCGGGGAGAAAACCTACAATCCTGGGAGGTGATTGAATTTTATTCTTAGGGACTTTCTAACAGAGACTTCCAGCTCTCCGGGGTGTGTGTGTGTGTGTGTGTTGGGGGTGGGGGGTAGGTGTGGCTTTATTTTTTCCATATTGTTATTATTTCTTTTTCCTGGTCTCGAGTTTTGCATTTCTAATGAAAGGAGACTGGCAAGGCGTGAAAGTGGTCCGGGGAGCAAAAACAAAGCCAGCAAGCACGCTTGTGGTGTGCCAAAATTAATCAATATTCCAGTAACCTCGGGGCTCCCTCGCTGGCCTGTGCGGTTTTGATTCCCCCGCCCCCGCCCCTCCCGCCCCGCCCAGGCCCCGCCCCTTTTCTTAAGTTGCTGTGATTGTAACTTGCAGTTTCTGAGCACATGCATTTGGTCAGGGCCAGGCTGCCCCCGGCTCCCTCCGTCCTGTTTCTCCGTTGTACCTCCTGGGGAACTCACCTTGTCATTGCTGAGTTATCTTCCGTCCGTTTTTAAGAAACATTGTTTGTTTTTTTTTCAGAAAAGGTAAGTGTAACGTCCTCTGCTGCTAACTGGGTTGGATTTCTCTCCTTCCACCTCCTCTCTGTCAATGTGATCTGTCCCCCAACGCAGGAGAGAATAGCCAGAGTAAGAGCTGGGCCATTTTGGGAGATAAAGTCCCTGTTAATAATTCAACGTGGTGAGTGTATTTGTGCCGATCCTCTTCTTAATTCGGTGTGGAGTCATTCGTTGTGGTTGGAGACCTTAGACAAGAATCAAGACTGAGCTGATCTTTAGTGCGTGTGCGTGTGCGTGTGTGTGTGTGTGTGTGTGTGTGTGTGTTTTAATCTGAACTCCTCCCACCTCTCCACGTTTCTTTAAGCTTTTAATCTGGTGTAAAGTTTTAAACAAGTTGTAGGTCTTATTATCCACGACCTGCGATGCTATTTAAAGTCGAGTCTTTTTTTCTCCTTTACCTCCGCTGGAGCTGCCCGGGCTGGCGACGCGTCCCGGGGACTGCAGCTGCCTCCCCCGCCACACGCAGGCTGCTCGCTTTGCCAGAAGCACAAATCCCCAGGCGGCTGATTTTCCCTGGGATTGTTCAGGACCGCGGACCAGGGATTAGAACTCTTGTAACACAGCTGGAGGAGGCTTTCGAATTTTTTTCTTTTTTTTTTCTTCCCAGAACTGATTTCCAGCAAGAAAAAGCATATGCTTAATTGTATTTGAATAACCTAAGAAGAGCACGTTAATAATAATTTTAAAAAAAACAGAAAACACACATTGTAATGTTTGGAATGAAATTGGATTCATTCATTTGTTCCAAAAATTTAAAGTTTTAAAATACTTGGAAGTCAGTGGATCCTTTCCACGGGAGACTCCCGTGTATTAGCCACAAATATAAACGTTACTCTTTGCTTCTACTTGTAACACAATGAATTAGGGCTTTAGATCATTTGTAGATGTGCCTGGAGCACTTTACTTATTTCATGGAACATTTCAAAAGTATTACTGTAAAACAAATGTATTTCTTATGTCCCCTGGCCATTTCGTATGTTTTTGTAAATGACCATCTCAAGTAGCTGATAGTTTCATGATTTTTAATAATGAAAATAGTTACTTCACTACACATAATAGAAACATTCAGATTAGGATCCATATTGCAATCCTTTTCACTGTCCTGGCTGTTATCAAGTTACTGGGGCTGGCGTACTTCCTGTGTGTTTCGGTTCACTTGGAGATTTATTAAATGCTTACACTGTGTAAGGTGCTTGGCTAGGTTCTGAGGGACAAGGTGGGAATAAGGGGGTAATGGGTCAGAAATAAGCTTTCAAAAATCTGATTGAAGAGACAAACTTCAATAATAGATCACATTTCTGCATATTCTGAATTTATTCTGAATTTACCCCCATTTCTCACACGTGCTCCAGTAAAATATACTTGGAAGTCTGATACTGCAGCTCTTCAGTCCCTGACTTCTACTGAGATTGCGCAATTTGCCCGTAGCCTGCCCCTGTGTGGGAAGTACTGTTTCCTCACGCCTGAAGCTATAACCCTTGTCTCTCTCCCTCTCATTCTAGTAGTGTTCTCTTAATACCAAAAAGGAGGCTTGACTTCCCGGGACGAATTCTGAGACACCCAAGTGCAAAGAAGTAAGACTTCCAGAAAAGTAAAACATGACAAAAAGCAATGGAGAAGAGCCCAGAGCAGGGGGCAGGATGGAGAGATTCCAGCAAGGAGTCCGTAAACGCACGCTTTTGGCCAAGAAGAAAGTGCAAAACATCACCAAGGACGACATTAAAAGTTACCTGTTTCGGAATGCTTTCGTGCTGCTCACCGTCACCGCTGTCATTGTGGGTGAGTCCCTTGATATACACAGAAACAAAACGGAGTATCTCATCTCTCCAGGGCATCTGGCTGCTGTGGATCACTATCAGATAAACTGACTGTAGGCAATCAAGATGATAGCCTAGCCTGCTGTGGTTGCTCGGGCTTGCAATCCCAGTCTGCCGAGAGTAGGCAAGAGGATCTAAGTTCAAGGGCAGTCTACACTACGTAGAGATCTTATCTGTAAAACAAAAGTTTTTAAGGTACTCCAGGTTCTTCCCCGCATTTGAAGATTTTCTTTTATTTTTCCCCCCTAGAGTAGTTTGCTGGTATGCTTGTAGTGATATATGGCAGACATCTGGGAATCTAAAAGAGACTTTATTAGGCATTATGCAAATCAATTAATTGTACGGAAAGAAGAAATAAGCCAAACATTTTCCCAATTCATGCAGGGATAAAGGAGTGATAATTCAATCATTAGGCATGAACAATTAAATAATAACAAAAACAAGGAAACATGCGAGACTTGGCCAAAGTACAGTCATTATTCAAGGTCACTTTTACTTAAAACTAATTTACACAATTAGTACAACCAAAATGAAATATGGGTCCCTAAAATTAATTATATTCTAACTGCTGCTACTCCAAACCTTGAACATAGTAGCCGAATCTTTCTTGTTTGCACTTTCTCACTCAGAAGCTGGGAAAGGTAAGCAGGGAAAATGTTAACACAGATCTCTCATTCATAGCCACACAGGGCCGCCATAGTATTTTAGTCCCTACTAATTTAGCATGGTTGACAGCAATCAATAATAATAATAAATATTTTGTTTGGTTTATTGGTATCTAAATTTTTAGTTTAATGTTTATGTGTGGCATTGATCGTACCTTTAAATATAGCTGAAAAAAACTACCTATTTGAAATTTTTGACCAAGCCAATACAGAAATCCTTGAGTTGGCAATGTATAAGCTAATACTACATTATAAAACAAATGAACAAAAATGCTCAACCTTGTTTAAAAAAAAAAAAGCTCTAACAACAGTTTCTACCAATTTACCACCCAAACAAAAAGGCATTCATGGAGTTCTCATCTCTGCCTAGTACTTAGCCAAGATTTGTTAGCTATAAAAAGATAATAGCTTAAGTAAGAATTAAGAAAATTCTAGTGTTTAATATCTTTGGCTTCTTTCCATAATTGTTGATTAATAAGTATTCAATTCATTGTAGAGATGCTCAAAATGAATATGTCCTGATTCACCTAGAAAAGTCATGGCTTACTCTTGCAGATTTCCAGGTGTGAAATATTTTATTTTACTCTTAGAGAAACTATTTTAACACTGGGATACCATACAAACTGCAGTATCCTTATCTTGCTGTTTTTGGTCTGAATCATAGTTATTAAGCCAAGTCATAGTTATATAATACTTCTAGGAAACAGTCATGTAGTAAAAATTCTGGCTATTTTTTGGGTATTTTATGTTAGATTAGCTCATTTAGTCTTCAAATAAGCCTATGAAGTAAGTGGGTGGGTATGATTATGAATTTGCACATAATTTCATAGATGAAAGGTCACAAAATTAATAAAGTTAGACCAAGAGATCAAACTCATGTAAAGCTAGGGGCTATCCTCATAACCACTTGACTATCCTGTTTCTCTTCTCTGCTGCCTGGTTGATCTCTTATGAAAGATGCTAGGAAAAGAAACACTGTCATTTGGTGGAGGAGACCATTTAGCCAGCAATGCTTGGTCATTGTCATCTTACTATTTGTTTTACCCAGTGACACTCATAAGAAAACTTATAATTCGTGTACAATTAAGCCATATTCCTCTTGTTCATTTAACAAACACCCATTTATTTTGCAATCCAATATGCATAATAGAACAGCTCACTAATACTAGAATATGTTTGGGAGAGATGAAGAAATGTCTATTCAGAATGGCTCCCTAAATACCAGAAGAGTTCAATCTTCAAGCAAGCAATATTTCTGTCTTGGAAGACTGGAAAATAATAAAATCTGAACATGGAAGGTAGATTGATGGAGAAGGAAGTTCCTAACTATAAAGGAATACATTTCTAATAAAAGTCAAAATGTCCATTTTCTCTATAAGTTCCGGAATCATTTCCTAACCTAGGGAGGCCTTTCCTCAGATTTGTGAGAACTGCAATGAGAGTTGGCTGAGCGAGGGTAGATAAATTGGCTGAGTGCCTTCATGGTTGGCTTTACTCAGGGAGACTGAGGAGTTAGAAGCAAGGAGAAGGCACTAACAAAGAAACACATAAAAAGAGCTCATTGATAGTCAGAGAGACCACCAAGTCTACACACACCAAAGACTCAGAATAACAAATAGACAACTTAGTAGCAAACAGATTTGAGAGAAGGAAGAACCCTCCAGTTATCTGTTGGTGTATCTCCCATTGAGGGCCCCACAGAAACAAAGGCTCCATTCAGATTGTCACTGGGTTCCATGTCTACCTTAGCCCTACACAAAATGTGTCTGACTATTGACTCTTTAATTTATCTGCAGCATGGAGAGGATCAGGAAAATTCTAGCAAGAAAGCAGGAAGTAGCTGTTTGTTTTTCCCTACAATATATGAGAAAAGCTATAATAATTAGTGTTCAGATTCTTAGCCTCTAATAACTTTCTAGAAAAGCTTATAAATTAGGATTGATTTTGATTTCAGTCTGTTTTAAAAATAAAATGGATGTGCAACTAATGTATGAAAAAAAGAAACTCAAAAAAATATTATGGAGGAGAGACGTGTGTCCACACAAGAGATCTGGATTTCAGTGTCAGGTTCTCAATACATATAAGCAAAAGACCACTAATGCAATTTTATCTCATTTATAATCTCATTTCTAAACAATGTCAAAGTCTAATAAGCAACACTAGAGCCCAGCTTCATGTGGCAAGAGCAGGTCAGCAACCTGCTAGACACAGTTCCAAGCTGTAAGTCCCTTTAAGAGACTTTGTGAGGAAAGTTGTAGATAATATGCCTTCTAAGGCTATTGCAAGCATCTGTCTGATACAAACATATTGAGAAGAGTGGTCTCAGTTTTGCTTTCTCCTGCAGAAAGCACTTTCCCATTTCCAATGGTGGTAAGGTATGTTAGAGAGACCGCAAACATCTCACAGAAAGAAATGGAAAGTTCTTTGTCATGATCAGGTCACAGGATATGACTCTTTTCCATGTCCAAGGGAGGAATTGCACAATGAAATAAAATCTCAAGCAAAGAACTCTGAGTGGCTCTTAAGCTCAGCTGAAGGGGTGAGAGTCTGCAGATAGACTTGTGTAGACAGATGGCAGTTTTCCTAATGAATTATTGGACTCTGTAATTGGTATCTTTCTCTGTGCTCTCTCTCTCTTACACCCACACCCACACATACACACACATCCTGGGAATTTGCACTTGAGATGTCTTTATAAAAGGATATGGGCAGGGAAGGTGGCTCTTTGGTAGAGTGCTTGCCTTGCATGCATGAGGCTCTGGGTTCAATTCCTCAGCACCACATAAACAGAAAAAGTGGTGGTGCTGTGGCTTAAGTGGTAGAGCTCTAGCCTTGAGCTGAAGATCTGAGGGACAGAGCCCAGGCCCAGAGTTCAGGGCCCCACAACTGGAAAAAAAAGTTTGGACACATACTGATTACATTTTTGTAAAGCATTTCTTCATTCTGTAATACCCTTTGGCAGTAAACTTAAATTGCAGCAAAATTCAGTGTAAGTTCAAAGTCACTCAAGAAACTGCTCCTCACAGGTGCCTGTTAGGTTAGGGGATGGATAGAATATCACTTCCTTCTGAATAAGTTTTTATACAATTTGTCAGTTTTTGTGTAGAATTAGATTTTATTTCAGGAGCTTTTACTTGTTAGTCAGGTGTTCTACCACTTGAGCCATGCTTCCATCCCATTTTTTGCTTTAGTTATTTTTCAGACAGGATCTCATGGGCTGTCCCAGGGCTGGCCTCAGACTGTATTCTCCTATTTACAGCCTCCTATATAGTTGGGATTATAGGAACTATTAGCTATTTGCTGCTGAATAAATAATCTAAGTGGTTTATTTAAGTTTGCTTAGCCTGCCGATGCTCAGTCCTGAAAAAAATCAAACTTCAAAGCTGTCCACCAATTTAATAAATACTGAATGTTGAATATCTGGCCATAATGTGAAGTGGATATTCCTACTCTCAGGTAGTTTACTGGAAAAGATGAATAAAAAAATTAGATGTGGAAGGAATATGCAGGTTCAGAGGTAATGATAGGTTTGTAAATAACTCTGAAATTTAAAAAATGAAATAATGATATTATGGAATGATATGTACCGCCCTAAATAATATGGTGCATCTTTCTTGTTGGTATTTTGAGGTTTGTTCCATTTGCTCATAAAGACCTGCACTGATATCTCTGGATGTGCCATGTTTTGGTGAAGTATGTACTTGGCTCATAATAGTTGTATTATTTACTATCTGTGTGATTCAAAGGAAGGCATTTGACCTCTCTGAGCCTGTTTTCTCATCTGTCATCACAGCTATAATACCTACCACCACCAATAATAGCTAGCATTCACACTTTATGCCAAGCTATGTTGTAGTTTGACTTCATTGAAAACCCAATAACCCAGGGGGGAGTCATTTTTTGGAGGGAGTCATTTTGGTTGGTCATGGGGCTTGAACTCCCAGACACTTCCTATTTTCTGGTGGTTAATTGGAGATGAGAGTCTCACGGACTTTCCTGCCTAGGCTGGCTTTGAACTGCGATCCTCAGATCTCAGCCTCCTGTGTAGCTAGGATTACAGGTGTGAGCCTGTATGACCCTTATGGTTTACTAGCAGCTGTTGGACTAAACTAACTGCTAGTGCTACCACAATGGCCTCCTGCTGCATGCTGGAATCGGCACAGCTCTGCACCCATGCAGCATCACTACCTCCTGTCCCTGGAATAGGAGCCGCTCCACACAGGCTGAACTACAGGAACCCAATGAATGGCTCACAGATTTCCAGCTTCTTAGAAATGAGGACGCAGAGAGGCACTTC